TTTTTTTTTTTCCAACTGCTTTTCTTTTATAAATTTTTCATTTTTTTTTTATCTTTATATACATACAAAGCAAAAGTTACTTCTCAATTTTTGTTTTGTTTTGTTTTGTTTTGTTCTGTTTTGTTATTGCTATTGTCTCGTCTTGTTTACCATTAGTTTTTTTTACAATTTACTTATACACTTTCAACTGTTAAGCAAAAAAAAAATTGTCAAGATGAAAAAAAAAAAACAAAAAAAGAACTGAGCAAACGATGCAATAAAATGATTCTGCAAAATGAACAAAAAATAAAACGATTGAAAATGACGTCAGGTTAGTGTTTTGCTGACGTTACTGTTCAATCAACTATTTTGACCATATAACTTCAGACACCTTTGTTGTTACCTTATCCATGATTTCAGATGCACACATTCAACAGTATCATAGCCATCAGTATCATGAACACCATCGTCATGACCACCACGATCATCACCATCACCATCACCGTCTCCCACAATCAACATCAGCAGCAACCAATATGCAGTTGTAATGCAGCAGAAGATAAAAAACGTTTAAAATAAAAAAATTGGTACCTTTGATAAATTTATTTAACATTCAATCTTTTACAGCAGTATTTTTGTTGAAAGCCAATAAATTCTATTTTTTCAGATAGTAAAAAGCAAATTGCAACAGCAATCATTATCTGATGTTTGGCACTTCTTTATTTGATGTTATTTGCAAAAAAAAAAAAGCCTTAATTAGTAAGAGGAAATTTTTCAATAAAACAGCAAAAAGTTATTTGATTCAAAACAAAAAAAAAAGACAAAAGAAAAGTTGTTCGATTTGGCATTTATTTATTAAATTTTTACTATTAAATTTTTCAAATATTATTGATAAAATATTGCTGCTTTATTGTACAATTCAATTCTACACTATACTTATTTTTAATTATTGTTTTATTATTTTTAATTATACAAAAAATACACTTTAAAAAAAAAAAAGAAAGAAAAATCTGATAAAATTATCACGTCTGTGTTTTTTTTTTAACTGTGAAGAAAAAAAAAAAGACCAAAGACTGGTGGTTTTTCTTTTTTTTGTACGTTAACTGTATAAAATTTTTGTATCTTTTAATTTTTTAAAATACAAAATTTATTTTTTCCTTTTAAAATTTATTTCTTTAATTGTATATTTTTTTTCAGTCTATTAGAATAAAAAAAACAATAAGTGAAGAAATTTGGTGTACGGCTTTCTGTAATCAAAAGGGAAACAGAAAGGGGTGAAAGAAGGAAGAAAGATTATCAGAAATTTTAGCATTACTGCAAAAGATTCTTTCTTTTTTAATTTGCTTCTTTTTTTCGCTGATATCATTGTGCTTTATTCTTTTTTTTTCCGCTTTCTTACAGATTACTTTTTACTTTGGCAGATAACTGTCACTAATCAACCTTTTGGTTTTTCTTGTCGACTTAACTGCTGCAAATATCAGTTTATTGGTTATCCGATCATTCAGTTTCTTCATTTTTTGCTGTTTATCTATCCTTTTTTTTCCGTATTTCGTCACTATTATCATTTTCTTATGATTTTAATTTCGTCATTGGCAAACAGAAATTTTTGTATGACATTATTTGCGCTTAACAAACGATGTAAGCAAAAGAAAGAAAAAAAAAATT